TGGTAGATGCAGAGCTTAGATACCCGCAAATGGAGAAATTGGCATTAGCACTGGTCACTTCGGCTCAGAGACTACGTCCGTATTTCCAAGCTCACAGAATAACCGTCCTCACCAACTTTCCCTTGCGACAGATTTTGTAAAGGCCAGACACTTCTGGGCGACTGGTGAAGTGGGCTGTGGAGCTCAACAAGTACGACATTCACTATAAGCCAAGAACTGCCATGAAAGGGCAGACTGTGGCAGACTTCGTAGCAGAATTAACCCCAACAGAACCTCAAGTATATAGTATCGACCCACAATTTATTGAGGAAGAGAAACCCTGGACACTTTACGTAGATGGGTCCTCAAATTTTCGAGGATGCAGGGTAGGACTTCTACTGGTCTCTCCGGATAGAGAGAGATTCGAATATGCACTGCGGTTCAATTTTCATGCATCCAACAACGAAGCCGAGTATGAAGCTCTACTAGCAGGACTAAAGGTGGCCAGGTACGTTGGAGTCAGAAATATACTGATACTCAGCGATTCACAGTTGATTGTAAGTCAGGTGAAAGAGGAGTTCCAAGCTAGAGAACCGCGAATGACGAAATACCTTTCTCAGGTAAAAAACCAGTTCGACCAATTATCAAAATATGAGATTCGACAAATTCCACGTGCTCAAAACGTCAACGCCGATGCGTTAGCTCGATTGACTGCATCTTATGAAACCGACCTAGGAAGAACTGTACCGATCGAGATTCTACCCGAGCCAAGCATAGAAGCTCAGGAAGCAGTGGATATCGACAAGCAAGGACAACCAAAAGAAAACTGGATGAGCCCTTTGATCAAATATTTGAGAGACGGGATCCTGCTTACTGAAAAGATAGAGGCCCAGCAGCTACAACGACGAGCAGCAAGATACGTACTTAAAAATGACAATTTGTACAAAAGAGGTTACTCGTTGCAGCTTTTAAAATGCCTAACGCCCGACGAAGCTGACTACGTCATGAGAGAGATACATGAGGGCGTTTGCGAGAGCCATTCTGGAGCATGATACCTAACTCACAAAATAGTTCGACAAGGGTACTACTGGCTGACCATGCTGAACAACACGAAGCAATTCACCAAAAAATGCGACAAATGGCAACGGTTTGCAATAGTACCTAGGTAACTGCCAGAGTCTCTAACGAGCATAATGAGTCCTTGGCCCTTTGCTCAGTGGGGAATAGACCTTATAGGGCCCCTCCCACTAGGAAAAGGGCTAGACCAAATTTGCAGTAGTGGCAGTCGATTATTTTACTAAATGGGCCGAAGCCAAAGCCCTAGCTACAATTAGTGAGAAAAAAGTCACCGACTTTATCTGGAAGAACATAATTTGCTGCTTTGGAATACTCTACACCATTGTCAGTGATAATGGGAAGCAGTTCGACAATGTTGCCTTTCGAGAATTTTAGAGGGAGTTGGACATTAAGCACATCTGTTCCTCGCCAGCACATCTGCAAGCTAATGAGCAGGTTGAAACAGTCAACAAAATCATCAAAAGAACTTTGAAAACCAGATTAGAAAAGCTTAAAGGGTTGTGGGCAGAGGAGCTTCTCAATGCATTATTGGCCTACAGAACAACACCTTGTACTTCGACGGGAGAAACGTCATTTCCACTGTCATTTGGCTCTGAAGCAGTGGTGCTAGTGGAAATTGGTCTCCCTTCCCCAAGGGTAGAGCAGTTCAGTCTACCCGACAACAATGAGTCCGTGCAGCTTAGCCTCGGCCTATTAGAAGAACATCGAGAAACAGCACGACTACGAACTCATATAGCTCGATACTACAACTCGAAGGTTTAGAAGCGTGACTTTAAAGAAGGTGATTTAGTGCTAAGAAATATTATGTCTAATACCAAAGATTGAACTAGCGGGGCGTTTGGGCCAACATGGGAGGGCCCATACAAAGTCACTAAAGTGGTTCGAGCAGGCACTTATGCTCTAGAAGACCAACGGGGGAAGGCCTTACTACACCCATGGCACGCTCAGCACCTCAAAAGATACTACCACTAGTTCGACATATTTCTATACATTTTTATGTTTTTCCATTATTTGGACCAACTAAGGTTATTGTAACTAAATCTTCGACAGGACGATCTTCCTACTAATAAAGTCTTCGACATTCGATGTGGTACTTGAGTTTTTATGTTCATTCTGAAATAAATTTCTCAAGCAGGGAGCATCATATGAATATCTACATATCTAYGACCAATCAAGAAACTCGAAATTGGGACACATCTAGAAGCAAGCCAAACAGGCAAAAAGCCAGTAACGGCTCAGCATGGTCAAAACTAAAGCAGAAAAATACAGGACATAAAACTGTTTGGCATAAAAAGTCAGACAAGTTAGAAACCCAAAGGTAACATTAGTTCTGTTAAAGTTAGATCCCAAGGCCAAAAGTAAACGGTTTAAACTCAGATGAGAATAAAACCAGGCTCAGGAGACTTGATTATGGCCAACGAAAATTGGAAAAAACTTCCAAATCATGAATAGTATCGACAAGCTCAAGGTACAAAACCAGTGACAGAAACCAAGCAGCTAAAATCCAAAATTGGATCAAAAGCTTTTGGTAGAAGCTCTGTGCGTTAGAAACCTTGACATTATTAGCCACTGATATATATATAAATTAGGCTATAGAATGATCTCGTGGTAACGACAAGCAACAGGTACTCTCAAAACAAAGATCTTGATACAATTATTAGTCCTCTGTTTTGAAAGTGAGGACCATTGTTATAGAGAACAAAAACGACCCGAAACGAGACAAGAAATTGAAGCTTGAGATCATCGACTGAGGGAGACTGGCCCGCGGCGTAACTGGCCGGCCCAAAGGACGACCTAGCGCCGAGGCGCCTACTCTCAACAATCGCCTTCAGGCCAAGATACCATGTGGGCCTCCTCCGCTCGGATCTACATCAGGAGGTTAAACACATCTATTCGGGGCCGAGGCTGATCATTGGGCCTCGCAACTCCGAATTAGGGTCAACTACAGAAGGTTCTGGAACCACTCTCACAGCTATAAATAGCAGTGCAGCCTAACCCTATGCAGGCAAGTGATTATTATATTCTTAATAAGTGGGAGAATTAATTGTGCTTGGGAGAGACAATTATGATTSATGATTTTTTAACTTATAGATTAATTGCAATATTCAATTTTTGCGTGTTTAATTTGTCTGCTTGTAGGTTCAGTTGGTGAAATCATTTCCCTAGGACCTGTTCTTCATAAAAGTTTTCCTTAGAGTATTTTAGTCGCTTTGTTATTTGATATTTGTCTTTCAAAAGAAATTCTTTATTGTTTCTCTAGATAAAATTGAACAATAATATTTGTAGTACTTGAGTGACTAGAAACCCAATCCAGTGGACGATATCGGTAATTACTTACCATTTTTATTAAAACTTGACTCATACACTTGCGATAAGCATTTTTCTATTACACCAACCTATTTAGACATCTATCTTAGTTCTAAAGGTTGTGAATTTGAATCCTTCACCCCACTTATTATACTAAAAAAAGAATATATATGTTACAAATTTTGTATAATTATTATTTTCATTAATCAATCTAAGCATAGAATTAATACATACACACATATATAGGGTATGAAATATTTGTCGACATCTCAATCGATATTTCCACGTGTCCACAAGTTCACTATCAACATGGAGGGTAAATTAACATTTCCATAGTATTGAAAAAAAACGAAAAAATATAAAAGATAGACATAATATTAATATTAATCATTGTTAACTTATTTAGAAATAGTGAAAGATTACTTTTTAATTTAAAAGATTTACAAACTTTTTTTTTTCTATAATCTTTCCAAGATAATATCTATCGATATTGACATTTTATTGATATTTCCATCTACATTTCAATCAAATTGAGATTTTATAGAATCTTTTATATATATATACACTTCTAATGGTCGATAATATATGTTAGATTGAATTTAATATTTTATTGAATGTGTATTTGATTAACTAAATCTTAAAAAAAAATGTACCAAAAAAAAGACCTAAAATTTTCGTGTCCGTTAATTTGATTTGTAAACTTTTTGACCAGTTCAGTTCAGTTCACCGCAACTTTCCGGGAAAGCAGAGCAATCCACCACCGTTTTTTGACCAACTTTCTCTGACACCAAACAGACAACTTTCTTGGAATATTTCAAATTATTTTTCTTTTTCTTTTTCTTTTATTTTTTCCTTTTCGTCCGTAGCCACGATTTTCCTTTTCCTTTTTTATTTTGTTTCAATCCCTAACATTAATATATAGGTTTAGCGAACACGTCTGGACAAAGAAATTTGCACATCCGTATAATGTTAAGTCGAATATATTTTGATGTCTAAWGTAATTAAAAATTTTCGAGAGTCTCTCCTCTTATTTATACGAGTCTTCTTGAGTTGGATCAACTAGACCAGTTCGAACTGTTTCATTGACTTGGCCTGCAGGTTTGACTACCTCAAGTAGAGTTTGACGGGGTGGTTCGGTAACCTTATATACTTCACAAGATCGGACATTCACCTTAGCCTTTCGGCTCGTGTTGTTTTCGTGATCCCACCTCAGATATAATTTTCACACATAACATGTTTGGAGCAGAATTCTTTGTAATTTATTTATGAAAAATTTATTAATCCAACGGTTGAGTTTGAGATAATGAAACATTTATTTTATACACATTTTGAAATAAATACTAATTAAGTGTTTTTCTTACCTACTTTTAAAATTAATTTTTATTATTTAACCAGACAACATAAAAAATATTTTAAAGTAATTGTGATTTGTTAAAAACACTTTTCATCACTCTAATATTCATACCAAACTCCCTCTCATGATACATTATAAATATCATACAAATTAAATAAAAATCTATTGATAAACATTTATTTAAATCTTCTTTATATTTGTGGTTATTTTTTAGATCATCATATATACATCTAAATGAAGCTAATCATTTTAAATTTCTCAAAAAAATTATCATAGAAAGTCATTGGAACCAATGAAATACTACTACTAAATCCACAATTCATATTACAAAGCTGAGAATGTTGTTAAAAACTAAATTATAGAAGGTTAATAGCTAGCTACGACCAACCCAAATCATTATTCTCTTTGTTATTCCTACTCTTTCTCTTACGTGTTCGTCATAGTCATCCAAAACCTTGAGAATGATAGAAAGTTTGAAACTAATGAAGTCGTTGCCTAATATGATCGTTGGTTAAGGCGGTCCAGTGACATTTGTGGTGGAGACATTGCCATCGTTACCGACCACGATGATTGACTTGTCGAGTCCACCGTTGACCCTATCCATATTTGCGCATGATTAGATTAATTATATAATAAATAAAAATAAAATGATCATATTAATTTTTGTTTCACATATTTTAATTATCATTGTTTCTATTGCATAAAAAAATAAATTAAAGTAGTCCAATAAATTCAATATGGAAATGAGAGTTTAGACCTAGTATCCCAGAGGAGTTTCTAATTCCAATTAAGTTAGGTTGGAATTCCTTCTAAATAATGGGTTAGTGCAATAATTGACATCTACTCTTTCCTTCGAGGTCAGAGCTTCAAACCAGTCTCGTACCCTCAATTTATTGTACTAAAAATAATACATAAATAATTGGTGTATTTTATATTTATAAATGAAAAATTATTAAAATTTAAAATCAGCATCGGGCTCTTATTATGTTTTCATTTCATTATTCTTTTATTCTTTTAATTTATATTTTGAAAACTAACACGAGCATAGTTCATTAGATAAGGTAGGTATTTTATTATTTCTTTTGTGGTCGGAGGTTCGATTCTCATGTCCACATTTAAGCAAAAAATTGAAAAATTATAAGTAGCATAATCTTTAAATATAATTTAAAATATATTAAGGAGAGTCAAATTAAAACTGAGATTTAAAAAAAAATTATTGAGACCAAATAGAAACTTAAACTCAAACCACCGGGCAAAATGAAAGTTATAAAGATTAAATTAAAATTATACCTAAATTATTGGACCAAATTCTTTATTTTACTTAAAAAAAAATAAAAAACACGTACTTGCAGCAGCATCAGTTGGAGAAGTAGTTTCAAAAGGCTGCGAATTGGGGCTTCCTTGATTGGATTGCTGAGTCGTCTTCCGCCGTCGACGGTTGTGATCCGCCAATCTTTTCCGGCAACTCCGTTTTCCGTTGTCAAACTCCGTCAGCACATGAAACCTATAATAAAATACTCCACCCAAAATAAAACGCTTTTTCTTTTCTTTTATATATAATAATAAAATACTCCGTAAGCACATGGTTAATCACGTTTTTGTTTTTTGTTTTTTTGTTGTCTTTTTCTCTTTTTCAATGAAGACAAAATATAATTGTGTTTATTAATTCTTTCTTTTCTATTGAAAAGATTAAACTTTATTTTGTAATTATTTTTTTCTCTAAATATCAAATTAAAAAATAAAATAACCGTGAAAATTATTTTTAAAAAAATTAACAATTTTGATCCTATAATTAATCTTTGAGTAATTAATTATTATTTGTTCTAAGAAAACGATAAAGTAGTATTTCTAATTATGTATTTGATAAACCAAAAACTAAAATTGAAATGAAGAAACAAGAAATAATTATCAAACACCTTTGAAATTGAAAGAAAAGAAACGATAAATATGAATGTTACCAAACGTCTTTCAAGAAATTTATCACGTTACAATGGTAGAAGTAAATATTCAAACTTCCGACTAAAGTTGAGTTATATCAGGATAGACTCCGTTCTAAACTTTTCTTTGATATATTAGAAAAAAAAAGGGTAATTTTGTCACGTTTTGTGATGGGGTTAATAAATGAAGTCCTCTCCCTAGCAAACAAAGCGCGAACGAAATGTACGAAAATGCCAAGTGCAATGAACGAGTCTCCTGAAAGGGCTGTCGACATTTACGGACGCAAATGCCCTCGGGATTTCCTTCTTGTACGGAAGGGCAATCATTATCCCGATAGTGTAAGGGGTGGGGGTATTTCGGACATTTCAGGTGAACGTGTACCTATTTGAGGAAAGCTGCTCTAGGGCTTTTGTGAAGGGCCACCGTCAAACCTGAAAACTGCAGGGAGTTTTTCTACGGACGGAATTACCCTCGGGATTTCCTCCCTGGTACGGCCAACCAATCATTGACCACTACAAGGGGCATTTAGGTCATTTCTGCTTGTAGGGTAAAAATTATCTAATTTCTAATTTGATATATAGTTTTTCTTTTTTAAATACTACAATTTAGAAAAATATTTTGACTACTTTTAACGATGGGTGTGTTTGAGAGTGACTTTAGTATGATCAAAATTATTTTTACCATTGTCAAAATCACTTTCCTTTCTATCGATCATTTTAGCAAATAGAAAAAATGATTTTGGAAAAACTTAAAAATCACTTTAAATTGTTTCTTAATATTCCGTGGATGCTGATTTTGGAAAATCAATTATACTAAAATCTTTTTTTTAAATCACTAATTTAATCATGACTTCCAAACAACCACTAACTTGAAGAGGTTATGGTTAAAAATAATGGATAAAGTTTTCATCTGTGCACTCAAAAGTGTCCGGATGTGTTTTAGAGTGATTTTAGCATGATCAAAATAATTTTTGTTGTCAAAATCATTTCCCCTTCCACCGATCATGTTTGGAAAATTTAAAAATTAATTTTAGAAAAGTTTAAAATAACTGATGAAAATTTTGAAAAATCAATTATACTCAAATCTATTTTTTTAAAATCACTCCTCGTACAATCACTTCCAAACACAAACTAAATTGATTTTTAAGATATCACTTACATAATGATTTTAGAAAATCAATTATGTTTAAATCTTTTTTTTTTTAAATTACTCATTCTACCATCACTTCCAAAATATCTTTTTAACTGCTAATGAGTTCAAATTAGCTTTCTTTCTGCTAATAAATAATCATAGAACACTTAGATAGGTGTAAACTTTAGCAACAATAACGACCGACAATCCACACCGTTGGATGGGAAACCAAAAAGCATATATAAATATTTAAAATAATTGAGTGGGGGAGTGAGGTTGTTGAGGGGCAGTTTAGGGAATTACCTGCTGCATTGCTGACAGAACCTCTGAGTCAAACCGGCGGTGACGACGGTGGAGGCTTTGGAGTGAAATTCGCAGACCTTATGGCGTCGGTGG